TTTTTCCCCCTCTCTCTGTTAGGGGCATTTTCCCTTTGGCATCAAAAAAAAAAAAAAAAAAACTTTATAAAGGAAAAATATATATACACAGAGTCCAAGACTATTACCTTACAATATCCACAGGGAGGGAATCAAAATTCCTATTCTAAATCTGAGTTTTACTGTTTATGTTTATCAAAATGATGGTAGCTTTAGAGAAAAAGCTGAAGTTCTCAGGGAAGTCTTGAAAGAAAATCCTGGGCCCCCAACATTTTGGGCTGTAACTGCTTGGTCTCAGGAAGCTCTGCTCAGTTAGGGGCTAGACTCCAAGGTTGATGGGCTGCTGGCCCCACGTGAGCATCCAGAGGTCTAGGCCGGTGGCACGTACCTGCTGGCTGGGAAACTGGCACAGCACGGAGGTGATGTTGCTGGCATACTGGGCCATCACCCTGCGGACCGACTTCTCCACCGGGGCGGGGATGCGTCCTGACACGCTGGTCATGATCTCCTGCAGCTCTAGCAGAGGTAGCGACGGGTGCCGGAGGGTCATCAGGAGCTTCTGCACCCACTCCTTCAGCTGCAACGAGGACCGCAGCTTCAGCTCTCAGCCCTGCATAGGCGTGGGTGTCGCCTCCCACCCCAGGATGCTTAACATGGCTCACCCATCTAGGTCCTGTGCACTCGAGTGGCCAAAGACCTATTCCCAGCAGCTCTGGAATACCCAGAGTGAAGTGGCCCCCTGCACCCTTCTCTGTGCATCCAGAAGGCCAGCGTCGGGTGGGGATAAAACAGAAGGTTATGGGACGAGCTAACACTGCGGCCACTTGCAGTGCCAGACAGCGTTCTAAGGGACCTTTACATGTTCTGGTTTGAGCCTTAGAGTCGACCATACGGAGTGGATGTAATAATTACTCTCATTTTACAGTCGAGGAAACTGAAATGCAGCAAGGTTAATTAAGTTACCCAAGGTCACTCAATCAGTCAGTAAGAAGCAAAATCAGGATGCAAACCCAGGCCACTTAGCTCCAGAGTGGCTTAACAGTGGCCTACACTGCCTGCAGGGTGTCCTGGCAGCTGACGGTATCAGTCTGTGAATGTGGAGGATAGTGGTGCCAACCCCATGGGTGGTTCTGAGATTTAAAAATGGGGGTGGGATGGCAGCACAGTAGTAAAATGACATTGTGAGGCTGACCCGTATGGGAAGGTTCCAGGTTCATATCCGGTGACTTCAGCCAGGCACATGTGTGCCCATGATCCAGGACTGGCTGAAACTGGGGGTGGACTAAGGTATCAAACTGGCTGTTTCTCTCTCTCTTCTCTGACTCTCTCTAGCTCATGGAAGAAAGAATGAAATTAAAAAAAAAAAAAGTGAACTTATGAACATAAAGTGAATAAATATTACAATACTGGCAATCATTACATAGCACAGTTCAGGAGATTAAGAGCACAGGGTCTGAAGCCAGATGGCTAGGATTCAAATCCCACCCTTACCTCTTCATGTGTGAAAGTAGGGCAAGTTTATTAGCCTCTCTGTGCCTCAGTTTCCTCACTTATAGATGGAAATAATAGCAGTTCCTACCTGACAGGTAGCTGGGAAGATTAAATGACTTAAAGAATCTTAAATACTTAGAATGGCAGCTCGTGGGGCAGTAGGTAGCATGGAGGTTAAGGTGGCTGGATACCACATGGCCAACGTCATGGTTTGAGTCCTGGACCCAGTGGCCTAAAAACCATGCTGGATGCATGTGCATGTATGCCCAAAATCCCAAGAGGAGAATGAAAGAGAAGGGACTGCAGTGTGGCCATATCCCCTGGGGGGTGCTTTCTCACTTTCCCTCTGTCTCTCTGGCATAAACCCTATAGAAAACACTAAAATAAATAAACAGTAGCTGGCACTAGACGGGGTTGACTATTTTCACCGCCCTCAGTGCCGTGATTTGCTATGCTGAGAGCCAATGTGCTACAGCACACGGTGTTCTCACTAGGCATCATAAGCTGAGCATCAAGTTCTTCCATGATCTGCCAATTGGAGAACTTCTTGTTTCTCTGCAGAGGGAGTAGTGACAAGATGCTGGCATTGTGAACAAAGCTGTGTTTCTGTACAAACAGCCTTCCCCACCGGGCGCACGTGCGTGCGTGCCCAAGATCCTGGGAGGAGAATGGAGGAGAAGGGATTGTGGTGTGCCCATCCCCCCTGGGGGGTGATTTCTCGCTTTCTGTCTCTCTCTGTCTGTCTGGCGAGTGCACATGCCCTATAGCAAAAAACAAAAACAAAACAAAACAAAACAGCCTCCCCCAGTCTCGGCAGAGAACTGATCTACGCTGACTCCCTTCTTAACTTCCTTTTGGAACATTCTCAGTCTTGAGCTGAAACACTAAAGGTCCTCATAACTTGCCCAACAGTTTATAATCAAAAAGAAAATATATGATGATGTTTACAACCAAAGAAAGAAATTCCTTGAGAATGTGTCTTTTATAAAAACAACAGAGGACGGGACCAGCAGTTAGCGTAATGGCTATGTCGCTGGACTCCCACGTAGTCGACCGCGGTTCAAGTCCCAGACCTGGTAGCTTAACCTCACGCCGGGCGCATGTGCGTGCGTGCCCAAGATCCCAAGAGGATAATGGAGGAGAAGGGATTGCGGCGTCGCCATCCCTCCTGGGGGGAGATTTCTCGCTTTCTATCTCTCTGTTTCTCTCTCTCTGTCTGGCGAGTGCACACGCCCTATTGCAAAAACCTCTCCAAAAAAACAGAAATGAAAAATAAAATAAAATAAAAACAACAGAGGACTAACCATTCTCTCATTCCTTACATCTGTAAGAACCTCTGGGTCCAGCCACAGGGGCACAGGTGGTAGGGCACCACTATTCAATCATGAAGCCAAATGGGAGGCCTGGATTCAGATCTGGGTCAACCTGAACATCCTGGGTGTGCCCGTGCATACCTATAATCCTAGCTATCTGAGAGGTTTGGGGGAGTAGATAGCATGATAAAACCCTGTCGGGGCATCTCTCCCTCTCTCTCTGTCTCTCATGGAAGAAAAAAAAATGCTATTGTTTGGTTAATAGCTTGTCCTCCAAAGGTTCATGCTCTGGAAGCTTTGGGAGGTAGTGAGACCTTTAAAGAGGTGGGGCCTAGTGGGAGGGCACCATCCAATCAGTAGCGATGGGGGGACAAAAAGAGGAAGTAGAGAATTCTGTTTCCTCTTTTTGCACACACCCACCTTCCTCTTTGCTTCTGTGGGGTAAGTTGACACACATGTAGCACCGAAGACTGGCCTGGTGCTGTTCCCATGCCTTTGGACCTCCCAGCCACCAGAATCATGAGCCAAATAAACCTCTCTTCTTTATAAGTTACCTAGACATAGGTATTTCTGTTTAGCAACATATAATGAAATAAGACAATAAATAAACTTTAAAAATAAATAAACAGACCTCTGATCTTGTGGAGTATAAACGCTTCTAACTCTTTGCACAGACTTACGCACACCTGCCCTCCTCCATAGGTGACTTACCTTCATGCTGAAAAAAGGCTCTGGCAGACAGTAGCCACTCATGACGTTGGTCAGGTTTTCCAAGACATTGTGGAAAACCTGGTGCAGCTTCTCTCCGAGGATGGGAAGAGTTTGCTGGGAAGGAAGCTCTCCTGTGAACGGCTTGGCCTATAAGACCCAATGAGAGTGAGAGGTCAAGGAACTGAGGAATCCCTAATGAGAGGACAACAAAAAATGGGGGGTGGGGGCAGGCGGGTGAGGCATAGCTACACAACCAAGTTAGGATAAAGCCTGAGGTGGAAAAGAAAAAGAAAAAAAGAATAAAGTCTCATACCAGAAAGCCAAAATGGCTAAATTCACACTCCGATGCAGGTTTTCCAAATCATTCTCTTAGGAAATGACACAGCACACTGATTTCCCAAGCAATTTTGGAGGGAGTTTGATTTTGTTTTGTTTTGCTTTGCTTTATAATTAAGATTATCTCCCTTTTTTTCTATTTATTTTCATTCACTATTAAATCCCAAAGACAATACCTACTAAGATATAAATCTATAAAAATCTCATACAAATCTACCTGATTTTTAGAAATCATAAACTTTTAATCTTACATAACGAAATGTAAAAATATAAAGCTCCCCCTCACCAAGAAGCAACACTGACTTAGTGTACCTATTCATCTATTAATTCATTCTACAAATGTCCAATGTAAATGAGGCTCTGGAACCCAAGAGGTTTGGGACAGGTTGGACTGCTCAGACCCCTGTCTCCCTGCAACTTCATCCCCCATCTTCATCCCCACGCCTGTCCCTGACGGCTCCTCTGGTCCTTTAAGAGCTGACTAGAGTGGTTTCTCCTTGGGATCTGATGCTAGCTTCTTCCTCTAGACCCCCACAGCCTAGGCCAAGGGCAGATCTGTTTATTGCATGTATCAAGTGAAATGGCATTATCTGCCCATCTGACTCATAGGCGTTGATATGAACCTACAGGGGCTGCATGGCTGGGCACAGGAAATATCTGCTAAAAGGGATCACAATGCAGACCTGCCCACTCAGCACAAGGCTCAGCCTATTTCTATATGTGGGAACCCATTAAAGAGGAAAATGAAATGCATGAGAAGAAAACAAACAGAACTAACAAGAAATACTCCAGAGAAAAGAGAAAATATGATTTTTGCCCAGGACACTGATGAGCTGGAAGAAGGGAATTGCAACATGACTAGACTCTGTCAAAGAGTCTTTTTCTCTCTTGTGCACCTGCATGTGCTCTCCACCATGAATAATAACAACAGTACATTTGGGGGTCAGCAGGTGGAGTGGTGGTTGTAGTGCTGGGCTCCCACATGGCCGACTATGGTTCAAATCCTAGACATGATGACTTGCTTTCTTATTTTCCCTCTCTCTCTCTTTCTCTCTCTCTCTCTGGTGAGAATATGTGCCCTATAGCAAATTAAATAATAATAATAATAATAATAAACAGAATTAAATAAACAATTGTTAAAAATAGTAATACATTTAATAACAGTCAAATTAGGAGCCAGCAGATGGTATGGTGGCTAAGGCACTGGACTCCCACATGGCCAACTGTGGTTCAAGTTCCAGACCTGGTGGCTTAAAAATAACACCAGTTTCATGTGCGTGCATACCCAAGAGGAGAATGGAGGAGAAAGGATTCTGGCAATGTCATCCCCGCAAAGGGTATTTTCTCTTTCTCTCTCTCCTTGATAAGCATATGTACCCTAGAGCAAATTTTAGAGAGTAAGGAAGGCCTCACTGGGGGTCTGACAATTGAGTAAAAGCTCACCAGAGGTGAAAAAGCAAGCCCAGAGAACATGTGGGAACAGGGCCAGGTAAGAGGGGTACATTGTGTTCAAATAACCAAGGGGAAGAGGGCTAGAGGAGGGAGCCAGAGAAGAAATCCTGGGAAGCTCTTTTGGGGTCCTATAGGTCTGAAGAAGAACCTGGGCTTAACTCTAGCAAGAAGAGGGGCTGCAAAGAGGGATGGGAACAAAGAGGGGCATGCCCTTTGTGTCTGTGCATCACAGTGGCTGTGGGGATGAGCATGGTCTGCAGAGAGCAAGGAGAGGCAGAAGACCTGAGAGCTCCAAATCTGTGTCCAAACAGGTGGAGGCTGTGGGCATGCCAGTGCCAGCAGGATGGCTGGGCATGGTGCCACCTACCGGGTGCACTTTCGAGGGATCATCCAGCTCCAGCCTGGCCACCACACAGCCTGCTTCCAGCACAGCCCCTGGCCGCTTGATGTACTTCACCTGGCCGCTCTCCTGCACATTCAAGGTCATGATCATCTTCATCACCTGTTTTGCAGAAAGCAGAAATAAGACAGAGCCCACCAGGCCTGGCCTGTGCATGACACCCAGAGTCCCCCAACACTAGTGACTCCAGAGCAGGGACAGTATTACTTAAGTACAATGACTTCCTGGGCAGAGTTCAAGCAGAAAGAAGAGAGAAAACCAGCACGTCCTGGAAGCCTGCTATGCTCCAGGCTTGCACTGCTCATGAATCCTCAGTGTGCGAAGCCAGCCAGGGAGAGAGGAGTTTATTATGTCCACTTTACATACACGGAAACACTTATCTTCATAGGAAGGCTCTCTTGGAAATAGTTAGATTAGGGGCCAGGTGGTGGTGCAGCATTAACGCAACTGGACTCATATGGAAGAGGGACTGGGTTCATGTTCCGGGACGTCTCCGCGCATGCTGGGCACACATGTAAGCCTGTGATCTGGGCTGGCCCAAACTGGGGGTGAATTGTGAATAAAGACCTTATCGAGGGCATTGGGGCGCATACTCTCGCCAGAAAGAAAAGACAAGAGACAGTGAGAGAGAAAGTGAGAAATCACCTACTGGGGAGAATGACCACCCCACAGTTCTTTCTCTTCCACTGGGTGCATGTGCATGCGTGCCCAAAATCCCAAGAGAAGAATGGAAGAGAAAGGAATGTGGGGTGGACATTCCCCTCAGGGGGCAGTTTCTCACTTTCCCTCACTGTCTTGCTTTCTCTCTGGCAAGTGTATGTGTCCTACAGCAAAACCTTAAAAAAAAAAAAAAAAAAAAAAAAGAACCTGGTGGCACGTAGCAGGAGGCTGATACAAGCTACTATTATTACTGCATGTTCATTGTCATTGGCACTATCATTTCCCTAGGCAGCATACAGAACAGAGGCTAGATTTGAATCCTGGCTTCATAGGACTCCGAATGAGTTCCATGGCCTGCCTGGCCACAGTGGACACAAAGATGGGAGCTGGTCTGAGGCCTAGGAGTTAAGGGAGCTGGATTTCAAATGGCTGACTATGGTTCAAGTCCCAGCCCCAGCAGCTTGAGGGACATGCTGGGCATGCGAGCATGCATGTGCAAGGCCTGACAAGATGGAGAGATGGAGGACAGGAGGATGTGGTGGGACCACACCCCATTGAGGGTGGCTTTCTCCCCCTCTCTCTGTCTCACTGTCTCTCAGGCGAGTACATGTACCCTCTGGCAATTAAAGAAAAAAAAGACATAAAGATGAATGAGATGCTCAGGACATGCTTGCCATGGGGGAAATGTCTTGCAAATATTTGGCTTAACACATTTTAATCATTGCCATCATTATTCGCCAGTCCTTACTCATTCCTGGGGAGATGTGCATTTTGAGGGTTTCCTTTGAACACCGTGAGGAATCTGAACCCCACAGACTGGCTCTTAGGAATTTTCAGCGGCCAAGAAGAAAAGTGAAGTCTGGTTGTTCGGTTGCAGATGCTGCTGGAGAGTGGGGCTCTCGGGGAGGCTGGCTGCAGACCCACACCCCAGGAGCTGGCTCTGCAGTCACCTCTATCTCAGCATAGCTGCTCCCGGCCTCGACATGGCCCCCATCCTCCACCGTGTACTGCATCAGCTTCCCCGCCGAGGGGGACCTCAGGACCGTGGGATCATTCTCCTTCTCGAACACACACGTCTTGTTGCCAATGGTAATTCGGTAACTGGGAAAGAGGAGAGAGAAAAGAGGAGAGAGGAGAAACAGAATGGAGGGAGACTGATGGGGCTCATCAACCCAGCAAGCCCAAGGCAGGTTTGTGAGGGACCCCGTTTCCCCTTTCCTAGGGCAGCTGTGAGTGTCACACTGGGACTCTATATTCTGGGACTCTACATTCCCCGATGGTGGATAGTCATTACAAAGATAGTGAGAGCGAGTGCTTGGATAAACAAAAGGTTGTGGTCCTTGTCTGGCTGACAGCTAGTTCCCTTTACAGATATAGTTCCAAAAGGCCCTCGTATAGAGAAGGCAATCGATGGCAAAAACAATCAATCAATAAAATTTCATAAAAGTTTGACTTTAAATCTTCGTCTTATAACTGAGTAGGGAAAACTGGCACCTATAATAATCCTCAACATTCTTGGCAGACAAAGCACAGGTTTAAAAACAGTTAATAAAAGGCCAGGTGATGGCATGGTGGTAGCATCACTGGACCCACATGGCAAAGGTCCTGGCTTCATATCCAGGGACCAGCCTGGGCACACCGGGCACACATGTGTCCATGATCCTGGCTGGCTGAGACCCTGTTAGGGTGCCCCTCCTCCCTCTTATTTATTTATTCTTTCTTTCATACAGAAAGAATAAATAAACTTTAAAAAAAGAAAAAGCCTGGCCCCATAGCATGGTGGTTAAGCTCTGTGTGAAGGGAGTTGGACCCCACATGGCTGACTGCAGTTTTCATCCTAGCCCTGGAGGTGTGAAAAACACAGCAGACAAGGGTGAGTGTGTGTGCCCAACATCCTGACAGGCTGGAGAAATGCAGAAAAAGGATTGCTGCATGACCATGCCCCATTGGGAGGGTCTCTCTCTCTCTTTCTCTGGCAAGTGAATGTACCCTCTGGCAAAAAAAAAAAAAAAAAAAAAGAAAAGAGAAAGCGAAAGAGATAATAAAACACTGCCCTGGTCTGAATTTAGTCTGCCTTCTTCCAAAACACTGAGCACTGAGAAGACGTCTCCACTCCCCAGTTGCAGCGTTTGCAGGCCTGGGCCTCTGGCATCCTCACCCTATACTCTCCCTGGCAGGGTCTGTGCACATTGCAATGTGTGATCTCAGCATGGCTGGATGCTCTGGGCGTGGACGGTGCTTCAGGCCCATCTTGTGACGCCTGTGCTGAGAGCTTCCAAACCTCATGCTTTTTACACATTAGGCTAAAAGCATGGCAATCTGTTCTGCCACTGTCTGCTTATTTTATGTGTCACCTTCCCTGACAGGCCAGAAGCTCCACTGGGCGACACCGTGGTACTACCCCAACACCTCAGAGTAGGTCAATAAATATCTGTGGGGACAGCAGACATCTGAGAGACAGAGAGATCTCTCTCTGTATCTCTCTGTTGGTGTGGTGGTTAAGGCAACTGGATCCCACATGGCTGAGTGCATGCTTTGAGTCCCAGACCTAGTGGCTTAGAAAGTGCGCAGGGTGCATGTGCATGCATGCCCAAAATCCCGAGGGGAGAATGGAGAAGGGATTATGATGGTATGGTCATACCTCTCAGGGGGGGCTTTCTTATTTTCCCTCTCTCTATATATCTCTCTGGTGAGCACACATGCCTAATAGCAAAAAATTACCAAAAAAGAAAGAAAAACTACAAATAAATAAATAGCTGCTAGGGGCCAGTTGTGTGGTGCAACAGTAATGTGCTGCTCAAGGCTGCTGGATACCACATGGTGACCACAGTTTCAATCCTGGCCCGGTCAGCCTGTAACATGCCAGGTACACGTATGAGGGCCCAAGATCTGACAGACTGGGGGACTGAAGGAAGGGGATTACAGTGTGGCCAGACCCTGTGGGGGGTGCGCCTGTCTCCATTTTTCTTTCCCACTCCCACGTGTGCATACGCCCCATCTGTCACAAATAAAGAAAAACATTTTAAAAGAAACAGTTGCTATGCGAAGCTTGCAGGTGGTGTGACACTTAGGGCACTGGACTCCCACATGCCTGACCATGGTTTGAGTCCCAGACCTGGTGGCTTGCTTTCTCACTTTCCCTTTCTCTCTCTCTCTCTCTCTGGTCACATTTTTAAAAAATAAATTATAATAACAACAACAAAAATAAACGATTCTTTTAAAAAAAAGAAAAAAGAAAAAGAAAAATAGTTGTTCTGTTAACTGGGGGAACGCATCTCCTCCAGGGCCTGTCCTCTCTGGGTGTGGACACTGCAGCTCAGAGGGAGGGACACCAGGCACCTCCTCACATTGCACCCAAGCTGAGGAGCTGGGAATCACATCCCATTCAGTTCTGAAACCTTCAGAAAAGTTACCAGAAAAGTCACTTCCTGGAGCCTTCCCCAAATGTCTGCAATTTGCACGGAATTCCAACCAGGAGATTAACCTCTCTGTGTGACCCAGAATTCACCAGTTCCCGGGCACCTTCTCTGAGAGCCTCAGCCCTGCACGCAGGACAGCTCTCTATTTGCAACTTGTGCGAGAGCCAGCCGCGTGTGCACACTCAGGGCGAGCTGGCACCCTCACGTACCTGTCGACCTCTTCCTTCATGTAGGTGGTGTAGCTGTTGCCATTGTAGGACAGCAGCAACCCGCCGTCGTTCAGCCGGTGAGCATCGATCTCGATGTGACAGCCGTTCATGATGAGAACGAACATGGTCAGAGACTGCCGGGCCACCTGCGGGAACAGGAATTGGGAGCCTCGCCAGAGCACCACATGGCCCTTCTGACGACCAGCAAGCACTGGGTGTCCACAGTGGGAGTTCCAGGGTGGATACTTCTGTCTCTCTAGCTATAGCCCTCCCTCACCCCAAGGGAACAGCCACGGGTGAGGCTGGAGCCACACCAGCCCTGCCGGGTGCTAATGGCCACTGGTTGTAGACAGAGCCCTGGGGCAGTCATATCCTGCTGCCTTCTTGCCTTCTGGGGCTGGGGGCTTCCTTCAATTCCCGTCTCTGAGCAGCAGCCCCAAACCAGGCCACCATGGGTGATAGGGAGATGGGCTCTCACACCGGGTGAGTTAATCTTAGAGGCACACCGGTGGCTTGGTACAATAGACTGGACGTTTATGTCTCCCCCAAATTCACATGCTGAAATCCTAAGCACGAATATGATGGCATGAGGTGGGGCCTTGGGGAGGCGATAAGATCATGAGAGTGGGGCCCTCATGAATGGGTCAGTGCCCTTACAAAAGGGCCCCCAGAGATTCCTTTGTCCCTTTTTGCCATGTAAGGACACAGGGAAAAGTCTTTTCTTTTTAAAAAAATTTTTAAAGTTTATTTTACTTTATTTTTTCCATGTGAGAGACAGAAAGAGAGAAAAACAGACAGGCACCCCCTAACAGTCCCACCACCATCTATCCCCAGCCTCAACCGGCCCAGATCATGGGCACACATGCATGAGTGCACACGCCCAGCACACTAAGGGGACCTCAGGATGTACACCGGGGCCCTCCTGTATGGGGCCAGCGTCACAGATCATGTCACTGAAACGCCACGCTATCACCGACAGCCCGAAAGACAACTGTGTGAACGAAAAGACTCTCCAGAGACTAAATCAACTGGCATCTTCATCTTGGACTTTCTCTCCCTCTGTCTCCCTTGTCTTTCTGTCTTTCTCTGGCACGCATGTGTGCCCTTCAGCAATTTCAACAAACGCAAAACAGACAAAGATTTCCTTTGGAGTTCCAGAGTACTGAGACAGCCAAGAAGCATAGAGCCCTCACCTTGAGAATGTACTTGACACCTCCATAAATCAACTCCACGTCCACAATGTTCAGCAGAGAAGCTGCCGGGAGGACCTGGCCCCTGAAAGAGAAGATGGGGCCTGTGTCAGTCTCGGGAGGAACGGCAAACTCTGCAGCTATCCCGTTGGCTAAAAAGGGTCACCTGGCTCTGTCATTCCTGAGCACCAACAAACCCAAACTGTTCAACAAGCTAAGGCTGGGGCCAGCTGGTGGCATGGAGGTTAAGGCAGCTGGATCCTATGTGGCCGTTTGTTTTTCAAACAGAGCAGTTTGAATCCCAGACCCAACACCTTGAGAAACACATGCTGGACGTGTTTGCATGCATGCCCTAAATCTTGAGAGGAGAATGGAGGAGATGGGCTTGTCATCTCTCCTGGGAAGGGGGCTGATTTCTCACTTTCCTCTCTCCATCTCTCTCTCTCTGTCTCTCTCTGGTGAGCACATGCACCCTATACCAAAATTAAATAAAAAAGCTAAGTCTGATGAAAGGAATCAGACATACACCATTACAAGAGGCCAGGCATTCCTCATAACTTAAGGACTTAGCACTTGCTGAAGGATGTGAATTTTTTTTTTTTGGAGAGGTTTTTGCTATAGGGTGCGTGTGCTTGCCAGAAAGACAGAGAGAGACAGAGAAACAGAAAGCAAGAACCCCTTTCCCCAAGGAGGGATGGTCTCGCCGCAATCCCTTCTCCTCCATTCTCCTCTCAGGATCTTGGGCACGCCCGCACAAGCGCCTGGCGTGAATTTAAGCCACCGGGTCTGGGACTCGAACCACAGTCGACTACATGGGAGTCCAGTGACATAGCCATTATACCAACAGCTGGTCCCAAAGGATATGAAATTTTAAAAGGGTTTTTCAAGAGGAAAATCCATAATGGCTTCTTCTCAGAAAAATTCTGTATGTAGAGATTTTGTCTCCTGCTTATGAAAGAAACCAGCATAAGAACTGAGATTCTGTTACTATTCCAAAGACTGAAAACTGGGCCAGCCAGGTGATGTGGTGGTTAAGGCAGCTGGATTCCATGTGGCCAACTGCACAGTTCGAGTCCTGGATGCAGTAGTTTGAAAAAACAGGCCAGGTGTGTGTGTATGTGTGCCCAAAATCCCAAAAGGAGACTAGAGGAGAAGGGATTGCAGAGTGGTCATCCCTCCTGGGGTGTGCTTTCTCACTTTCCCTCTTGCTCTCCATATCTCTTTCTCTGGTGAGTACATGTGCCATATCACAAATGCGTCCTATCACAAACCATAAATAAATAAATAAATAAATAAATAATTATTGGGTTGTCAATAAAGTCATGATGCATTTTTGCACAGAAAAATACCTCATAACTTTCCTAATGACCTAATATGTACTTCATTCCATTTTCCATAAACTTTCTGAAGTCCCGTCATATTGTGATGTACCTTACCCAAGCTGTAGGCATCTGCATGTGAGTGACGGCAAACTGACTACCACCTCAGCCCTTCCCCTCCCTTGTGCACCTCCTCCCTGTGACCTACACCCGACTCTCCAGCCTCTGAGGGCAGCCCAGGCTTCTCCAAGGAATTTCAGAGGCAAGCCCCTGGGAGGGATTCATCCAGGTGACTGATTTGTCACCAGATAGAGCATGTTCTGCCTTCAAAGCCTCCAACACTCCTCGTAATAGGGGAAAAAAACTGCCCTCACCCCTACCTTTCCAGGGAGTGTAAGAAATCCGTCATGCAGGTTCTGAACATCGCGTCGGCCACGTTCAAGGCCCCACACACCACCCCAAGCATGATGTCCGGCTTCTCAGCCTAGGGAAGACTGGGCTTCAGTATCAGAAGGGAGGTTGTGGGGTCTTGGCCACCCAGAAGAGACCCTGCCGGCTCCCCACCTGCACTTTCTCAGCGATGAGGTGGTCCAGCCACCCCGTGTCGATGTCGTTGCTCTGGAAGTTCTCAGTCTCCAGGAGGTTAATGAGGTACTCCACAGTAGTCCGGAAGTCACCCCGGATGGACAGCTCCTTCAAAGCTACCACCATGTTCCTGGGGGAAAAAGCACACGGATTGTTTGCCAAGTTAATATGAGCAGACAGAAAATGCCTGTGGTCATTTTCATGATGTGGTTTTCAGTCAGAGAAGCACAGCCACCGTGGTGCAGGCAGGAGGGTCAAACTAAGTAGTGGCTGAGGCCACCTGGGAGGCTAGGGCAGGGCATCTCTACATAGTGAGACTTGCTGAAATACCTGTCTTGGGAACCAGCAGTTAGCGTAATGGCTATGTCGCTGGACTCCCACATAGTCGACCGTAGTTCGCGTCCCGGACCCGGTGGCTTAAAACTCACACCGGGCGCGTGTGCGTGCGTGCCCAAGATCCCAAGAGGAGAATGGAGGAGAAGGGACTGAGGCATGACCATCCCCCCTGGGGGGTGATTTCTCGCTTTCTGTCTCTATGTCTCTCTCTGTCTGTCTGGCGAGTGCACGCGCCCTATAGCAAAAACCTCTCCAAAAAAAAATAAAAAAGAAATACCTGTTTCTCCCTCCCACTCTGTTTTCTCACTAGAGAAAATAAAGGTCAGATGGTGGCACAGTGGTAACACAAGTGGACACATACAGGAAAGCTCCAAGTTTATGTCCCAAGGCTTTCCTGTACACTCCAGGTACACACACCAACCTGTAGATCTGGACTAGCTAAGGCTGGGGGTGGATCACAGCACAAAGACCCTATTGGGGGTATCTGTCTGTCTGTCTTTCTCTTTCTCACACAACAAATAAATAAATAAGCAAGCTTGAAAGAGAGAGTGAATTGGCCCAAGTCAGAAAGCTGAGATGTCAATCTCAGCTCTACCTTGCACTGGCTGTGTAATTCTAGACAAGTGACTTAACCACCCTGGGCCTTGGTTTATCTAGAGAATGGGCAAAGAACCCCGTTATACAGGTGCTGAAATATTACAAGATGATCCATGTTTACTACATGGTCACTGAATAGTAAATACCAGCTGCTATGAATGGGATTATCACTATTATTATTAACAAGAACATGAATTTTTTTTAGAGAGATTTTTGCTATAGCGTGTGTGTGCTTGCCAGAAAGACAGAAAGTGAGAAATCATCTCCTAGGAGGGATGGCCATGTCACAATCCCTTCTCTATTCTCTCAGGATTTTGGGCATACATGCACACATGCCTGGTGTGAGTTTTAAGCCTCAGGGTCCAGGACTCAAATCACAGTTGAGTACATGGGAATCCAGCAACATAACCATTACACCATCTGCTGATCCCTTGAATAGTAATTATTAATAGAGTGTCAGTCACTCTGCCTCTGTCTCCCTCTGAATCCATTCAGACCTCCTTGTGTGCCTAGGGCTGGTGCCACCCTCTCACACTCACACAGCCAGGTGTGTGTGGGGTGCACCTGTGGACGGTAACACTGTTACCTGGCTGATAGGTCTGGTAGGCCCCATGGTTGCTCATCCTCAGGGATGGCCTCCAAGCTCAAAGAGCCTCAGTTTAAAGGGCAAAACCTCCACTCGCTGAGGAATCATGGCGAGAGCACGTCAGGGGAATACCTTGAAGAAGTGAGATGCATCTGAATCCTCTCTGCCTGGGAGAGGAGACTGGCACAGGCTGGCACCCCTGCCCACTGCCAGCAAGTATGGGGAAGGGACAGTGATGATCCCACTTTGGGGGGGAGAAAATGAAGACCCAGTGAGGGCAAATGAGGATGTTGACAGGCTGCAGCTCTGGCACCGGAACTTGAATCTGGGCTGTAAGCCACTGGACTATGTGTGGCCAACTTGTTCCAGGTGGGTCGGGGCATTCTGGGTTCAGCACTGAGCAGTCCTGCATCTTGGGAAACCAGTCCCCCCCATTGGACTCTGACTAACTGCAGTAAGAAAAGCTAGGATTGTCCCCTCTGAATTCTGCTGGTCACTCACAGCTGGGACAAACCATGGGTCACTTCAGTCAGAGAGGGCTGGGCCAGCTGACCTGCCTCCCACCTCCTCCTATTGAGCCATATTGATGGTAGATGAAAGACAGAAACACGCAGAGAGACAGAAAGCGAGAAATTACCCCCCGGGGGGTTGGCCACGCCGCAATCCCTTCTCCTTCATTCTCCTCTCAGGATCTTGGGCACACACGCACAAGTGCCCAGCGTTGAGTTTAAGCCACTGGGTCTGGGACTCTAACTGTGACCGACTACTTGGGAGTCTAGCGACATAGCCATTACTCCAACTGCTGGTCCTGACGGCAAATGATTTTCTGTAAGCTAAAAGGATCTCGGCTGTCCACCGAGCATAATGGAAAGTAATCATTCCAGGACCAGCCCTGCGACCCCATGGTTAGGGAATGGGATCCGCACAGTTTGAATTCCTGCCCCAGCAGCTCAATCACATGCCAAGAGCATGTGCACGTGTACATGCCTCAAATCACAACAGGACAGAGAAATAGAGAAGGGACTGCGATAAGACCACACCCCATTAGGGCTTCTTTCTCCCTTCCCCTCTCTCTGTTTCTCTCTAGTGAGCACATGAGCTCTCTGGTTTATAAACAAACAATAAGAAAAAGAAGAAAGGCATCACCCTAAGCTGGCAAAGAAAGCCCAGTCACCAAAGCCAGCAGACTGAACCTAATTGAAGGCTAAGCTCCCAGGCCAGTTATAATGTTACAATGAGACACCCGCTCTGCCTTGGGGACTGTTCACCCTGAAGTGCAGCTGTCCCCCACACAAGGCTTCATGACAGTGAGCTGCTGTTTTGCCTTTCTGCAGCCATGTCAAGGAAAGAGGAGCAGATGCAGTGTTTCAGAAGCTGGGGGTCCCTTGGCCAATGTGGGTTTATCAGATCTGCAGAAAGTGTGGACCTGGCTGCACTGGGGACAGTGGCTGTCTTAGGCCTCGGGTTCACTGCCCCCAGAACTTAGTTTCGGCCAGAGGAGGAACTATTTATGAGGTTTCAACATAAAGGAGTCTCTCAACCTCCTTTTGTTTTTCTCAACTATATGGTGGGCCTTCAAAAAGTTCATGGGAAATGTGTACTAGGAAAAACTCAGGCATAGATTCCAACTTTTTTTTTTTTTTGGCACCAACATAAACTTGTACTTTAATTCCATTTTCTCATGAACTTTGTATAATACTTAACGCCTTTTAAACTTTGGCGTTTAAACAGTCACAAACATTTTTTAGGTCTCCTTAAAGTTAGATGTCTTATGAGCCGGCAGGTGGCATGGTGGTTAAAGGGTCCTGGACTCCCACATGGCAGACTGCGGTTGAAGTCTCAGACCTGGTGGCTTGCTTTCTCACTTTCTCGCCTCTCTCTCTCTCTGTCCTTCTCTGGTCAAATTAAAATAAATAAATGAATGAATAAAGTTAAATAAAATAATTCTTAAAAAGAAAAAGTCAGATTCTCTTAAAAAAAAAAAAAGTTAGATGTCTTACAAGCCCAAGACCAAAAGGCCTTAGTGGGCTCATTCGACCTTGTGAAGCTCCAGCCAGTAATGGGAAGGGGCAGACTTTGTTGCAGGACTTCAAACCCAGGCTATTTCAAATAGGATCTGCCCTGGGATGCCCCCTCTTGGTCTTCTAAAGTGCTGCTGCATCTGAAGCCACAGGGAACTTTTGCCTTCTTTACAGCAAGAAAGGAAGGGAGGATGTGGGAGGGAAGAGGGAAGGAAGAATACAAGGGGGAACAGCAGACAGCACAACCGTTACATTGCTGGACTCTTACATGGCTGATTGTGGTTTGAGTCCCGGACCCCGTGGCTTGGAAATCATGCCAAGTGAGTGTGCATGCATGCCCAAGTTCCCAGGAAGAGAGGAGATTGAGGTACAGCCATCTCCCCTGGAGGGTGGTTTCTCACTTTCCCTCTCACTGTCTCTGTCTCTCTCAGCAAATGCATGCCACCTAAGGCAAAAATCTTTTAGAAAAAAAGGAAGAAAGGAAGGAAAAGTGAGGGAAGGAAGAATAGAAGGAAGGAAAAAGGGAGGGGAGGGAGAGAGGGAAAGAAGGAGGGGGGGATGGAGGGAGGGATGGAGGTGATACTAACGAGATGGCCTCTTCCCGGTTTTCTCCCCAGGAGAAGCAGTGTCCAAACTGGGAATCGGCGAACTCATGTAAGCCCCCGGCAGCAGCCACGCTGAAGTAACCCCACACGTTCTTGCTGCTACGGAAATTCAGTTCCTGGACAGTACCGGAGCTCGGCTTAAACCCCTGGAGCCCAGATAGGAAAACAAAATGGAAGAAATCATTACTCCAGACACACAAGAGGACTTCGAAACGTTCATGGAAAAATGCAATTAAAGTACGAGTTTCTTGTGCTTCCGTTTCCTCGTCTGAACTGAGAAGCCTTGAAAATGGCAGGTCTCCTGCAAAGCCAGCATCTGGCATCTGTCCCACTTTGGGAGATTTCTGATGGCGGACACACAGGGCCCCGCACTTGCCTCATCTGGATTTTCACTGGTGATTCTTGCTGCGATGACGTGGCCTCGGGCCAGGGGAGTGTTCGAAGGGGTTTCAAAAGAAATGGGCACCAGTCCCCAGGGCGACTCTCCGTACAGAAGCCGGATATCCTTCAGCCGGTGCAGTGGCACGCCCATGGCAATCTGAAATCAAGAAGCCCACCCCACACATTGTTAGTCCAACTAAGACCCCAACCATAAAATGCTGAGCGCAGGGAGAGGTGTTGGAGACAGGGGATTAGTCCATGATCTCAGATATACTGAGCCCCCACTGTGCATACAACGCTGTGCTATACTCTGGTGGGAGAGACAAACCACATGATCGAAATAGCATCCTGGGTCAGCTCATGGCCTGGGGGTAACATGAGCTGGATCCCCCATGTCCGGTCACCTAGGCTCCACATGGCTGGATCTCGTGGCTTGAAAAATATGCCAGGTGCAAGTGCATGCATGCCCAAAATCCCAAAAGAAAGGAGAGACGGAGGAGAAGGGAACTGCAGCATGACTATTTCCCATGGCGCGGTGGAATAGGGGGTGCTTTTGTCCTTCGCTCTCACCTCCTCAGGCAAGTGCGCGTGCCCTCTGGAAAATGTAAAAACAATAATAACAACAATGTGTGCCTGCTGGTGGGATGCCCTGATTAGGAAAAGGCATCGCCTAGGAAATACTCGGTCAAAATGTTCAGTAGGAATGGAGCCAGGAAGAAAGAACTCTTTCTCTGATCAAATTAAAATAATCATAACAATGATAATAAAAAAGGTAAATAAAATAATTCTTTAAAAAAAAGATATATATACAATGTCAACAATGAACAAAATGGGCCAACTCAGCAGCACAGCGGTAAAGCCCTGCTCAAGCGATGCTGGATTCATAGGGAAGATCATAGGTTTGGTTCCCTGTTGCCTTTATAAACGCCAGGCACACAGGCCCAAAGTGCTGGCTGGGTGGGAAGGCTGCACCCTGCTCAGGGTACTTGTGTTTCTCTCTTTCTTTCTGTCTCACTCATGAAGAACACAAGTAAAAAATTTCAAGTTAAAAAAAAGAAGACTGAGGATTGTTTCCAGATTAAAGACACTAAGGAGACATAACAATGAAAAGGAATGTGTCGTTCTGAGTTGGATCTCAAATTAAAATAAATAAGTAAATAAAATAAATAAATAAGGAAAAACTTTTTAAAAATAAAATAGGGGCCAGCAGGTGGTGTTGTGGTTAAAGCACTGGACTCCTACATGGCCAACCATGGTTCGAGTCTTGAACCTCGCTGTATGCTTTCTTACTTTCTCTCTCTCTCTAGCTGCTGAGAATACGTGCTCTATAGCAAATTAAAATAATAATAAATTTAATAATTATTTTAATAAATAAGTAACAAAACAATAAATGGGGGGTGCTGATGGTAGTGTAACAGCAAAACATGATACTCTGCAAGGCAATCCCACATAGGAAGGTTCCCAGTTCAAGTACGAAGACCTCCCTGAGTACATCAGGTACACGTCTGCCCATGATCTAGGGCTGGCTGAGGCTGGGGGTGGATCATGGCATCAAGACCCTGTTAGGGATATTGTCTTCTCTCCCCCCTCCTCTCTCTGTCTACTCTCATGGAAGAAATAAAAAAATTAACTTAAAAAAAATAAAAAACCCTCCACAAATGCTTCTTAGGAGGATAATAATGGAAAAAGCGATTAAGAAATACAATTGTGTGGTTTGAGTCCTAGACCCAGCAGCTTGAAAAATGCACCAGGTACATATATGTGTGTGTGCCTAAAATCCCAAAAGAGGAGATAAAAGGAGGAGAAGGGACTGTGGTAGGACCATGCCCCATGAGGGGTGTTTTCTCACTTTCCTTCTCTCTCTGTCTCTCTCCAGTGAGCACACACACCCTCTGGCAAATTAAAAAAAGAAGAAGTAGAAAAATAAATGCTTCTCTGGGCCTGTGACTGCTATCAGGAATGCACAAATGCTGTGAAACTGTATGAAATCTATGTTCCCATGGAGAAGATCTATGTCTTCTCTCAGTTTCTCACATGGCTCTGTGGTCAGATATGGGTAACAAACCACTCCAAAGAAGGTTCACAGCTTTCATGATTCCCAGTGCCACTCACACATCAAAACAGTCATTCCCAAGGGACAGCCAGCCAAGAGGTGGACAGAAAGGACTGATTAGAGCAGGACACTGTCCCCAACCCAGGGCAGAGAAGGCCCCGGGCACAAAGCCTGCTTCCTCACCTGTAGCTGGGCAGCCGGCAGGTTGACGTCAGCGATCATTTCTGTGCAGGGATGTTCCACCTGCAAGCGAGGATTCAGCTCCAAGAAGTGGAAGCTGCCATCCTGGCTGTAGAGGTACTCAACTGTCCCTGCGCTTACGTAGCCCACAGTCTTGGCCAGGCGGACTGCACACTGCAAAGAACGAGGGACAAAGGCCAAGGGGTTCCAGTGACTCTCTGGGGTAACTGTAACTGGTGACTACTACCCCCTTCCCAGTGCACCCAGGACCTGCTGTGTGTGCAGTATTTTGTGACCTCACAGATGAGCTAATCCAATAAACCCATATGCCATAGAGTTTGAAATATATACCCCCAAAACTTATGCATTGAGCCACTATAATGGGATTAAGACAGTGAAAACTTGGGGCCAGCAGTTGGCTTGGTGGTTAAGGCACTGGACTCCCATATGGCCGACTGTGGTTTCAGTCCCTGATTCGTTGGCTTGAAAATCATGCTGAGCTAGGACCAGCAGTTGGCGTAATGGCTATATCGCTGGACTCCCATGTACTTGACTGCAGTTCGAGTCCCGGACCTGGTGGCTTAAACTCACACCAGGAGCATGTGTGTGAGTGCCCAAGATCCCGAGAAGAGACTGGAGAAGGGATTGCAGCATGGCCATTACCCCTGAGGGGTGATTTCTCACTTTCTGTCTCTCTGTCTCTGGCTTTCTGGCGAGCGCATGCACCCTATAGCAAAAACATCTCAAATAAAAAGGAGAAAAAGAAAATTATGCTGAGCATGTGTGCATGCCTGGCCAAAATCCCAGGAGGAGAATGGAGGTAAAAGGATTTCAGAGTGGCCATCCCCCCTTGAGGGTGACTTCTCACTTTCCTTCTCAAGTCTGTCTCTGTAGCTATCTAGTGAGTGCATGCAACATATACCAAAAACCTTCAAAAAAAATTAAAAAGAAAAAGAAAAGGTGAAAACTTGGTCAGCTTTGGGCCAGTAGATGGTGTAGAGATTAAGGTGCTGGATCCCACATAGTCAACTATGTGGTTTGAGTCCCAGACCCAGTGGCTTGAAAACACAACCTGGTCATATCCGAAATCCCAAGAGAATGGAGGAAAAGGGATTGTGGAGTGGCAATTCCCTCTAGGGGATGATTTCTCACTTTCCCTTTCTCTCTTTCTCTTGCTTTCTCTCTCCAGTGAACAACACACACCCTATAGCAAAACACACACACAAAAAGAAAACTTGGCTGGCTTCATAGCACCACAGTCAAGCCCTGTGCATAGGCAGCTGGACCCTACCTGACTGACTGCAGTTTGAATCACAGCCTGAAAAACACACCAGGCTCGGGACCAGCAGTTAGCGTAATGGCTATGTCGCTGGACTCCCACGTAGTCGACCGTGGTTCGAGTCCCGGACCCGGTGGCTTAAACTCACGCCGGGCGCGTGTGCGTGCGTGCCCAAGATCCTGAGAGGAGAATGGAGGAGAAGGGGTTGCGGCGTCGCCATCCCCCCTTGGGGGTGATTTCCTGCTTTCTGTCTCTCTGTCTCTCTCTGTCTGTCTGGCGAGCGCACGCGCCCTATCGCAACAACCTCTCAAAAAAAAAAAAAAAAAACACACACCAGGCTCATGTGCATGCACACCCCAAATCTGGACAGGATGGAGAAATAAAAGGCAAAAGGATTGCAGAGTGACCGTGCCCCTTCAAGAGGGTCTCTTTCTCTTGCTCTCTCTGGTAACCACATGTGCCCTCTAGCAAAAAAAAAAAAAATTAAATTAAATTTGAGGGAAAAAAATATGAAAACTTGATCAAATTATGGTGTGGGAAGATCAGGACTTTGGGAAGAGATTAGAATAAAGGCCATCAGGTGGGACCCCATGATGCCTTCTGATGGGTTTGGAAGAAGAGAAGAGAGAACTCTCTAAAAGAAACAAAAAATAGGAAAAAGGGGACCATCAGATGGCATAATGGTTACATTGCTAGACTCCCATGTAGTCCACATGGTTCAAGTCCTAGACCCAATGGCTTAAAATTCACACCAGTGCATGTGCATACATGCCTAAAATCCTAAGAGGAGAATGGAGGAGAAGGGATTGTGCCGTGGCCACCCCTCTGGGTGCTGATTTCTTGCTTTCTATCTCTCTGGCTAGTATACATGCCCTATAGTAAAAATCACTCTCCTTAAAAAAGAGAGAGAGAAGAGACACACATGGACACTCTCCTGCCTTCTGCCATGCTGTGGTGCAACCAGAGGAATCAACCAAAGGTGGCCCCTGGGCCTTGGACCTCCAAACCATGAGATGAATGAACCTCTATTTCTATGAAGTACCAGTTATAGGAATTTTCTGATTTAGCAACAAAATGGACTCAAACACTGCAATGCCGAAATGATCTCTACAATGGGCCCTGTTCCCAGCGGTTCACCTCATCTTCTGGTCACCCTGACCACAAAAAGTTCTCACTGACTAAGCCATCATGGCTCTCCCTGCACTGTCCCAACCTCTGAGAAGCCCACCTGCTCCATGAACTCGAACACAGCCGGCATGGCAATTGTGGCTGGTGCCTCCTCAATGATCTTCTGGTGTCGCCTCTGGATGGAGCAGTCTCGCCCAAACAGAGACACCGCATTCCCATACTGGTCGGCGAGGATCTGGACTTCCAGGTGGCGAGCGTGTTGGGCCAACTTCATGAGAAAAACAGGCGAACCTGGGATCTCGCTCTGCACCTGCAGAAGAAGCAGAGCAGCTCACTCTATATGAGGAAACCAGTGCTAGAAGCTTCTGGAAGCTTCAGGAAGTTCTCAGAAGTTCCTTAACTCACTCATGGAAGAAATAAAGAGACTTAAATAAAAGTAAAGAATGTGATGTAAAACTGGTTTTCTTCTATGAACACAGTAACACATACTAATAAAGTTTCTCTGAGGACAGACCCTGTAGCCAGGTGGGTAAGGGACATAGGGAGCCAGATTCCACAGGTCTGACTGCAGTTCAAACCCTGGCCTCAGTGATTTGAAAGACATGTTGGGCACATGTGCACAAGATGCCAAGAAGGAGAAAAAGAGACAGATTGCAGCCTGTCCACACCCATTGAGGGGTGCTTTCTCCCTCTCTCTGTGTCTCTGTTTCTTTCTCTCTGATGAACACATATGCCCTCTGGCCAATTAAAAAAAAAAAGGACAAGAAATTAGAAAGTTTCTTCTAACAAAAATAAGATGAAAACATTTCCTTTTCTCTTACTTCCTGTCATTTCCTTTTCTCTTACTTCCTGCACTCTCTCAGCTAGCTCTTCACAGTGAAGGCTATCACAAACTTGTTCCATCATTTTTAAGGCTGACTGGCATTCTCATATAGGCATGTCAGCTACAGATTCTTTTCGTATTTTAGGTTTTTGCCATAGAGTGCATGCACTCACCAGAGAGAGAAGGAAAGCAAGAAATCACGCGCCACACCACAATCCCTTCTTCTTCTCCAGTCTCCTCTCAGGATTTTAGGCATGCATGCATATGCGCCTGGCGTGGTTTTTAAGTCACTGGGTTGGGGACTCACATGGAAATCAGCTATGTGGGAGTCCAGCAGTGCCTTAACCACCATGCAGCCTGCTGTTTCCCAGCTATAGATGTTTAAAGATGATGTAAATTAAGTGTTCATGTGGAGTGATTCTTTCTTTTTTGAATTATTTAATTTTATTTATTAATTCTTTTTTTTTTAATTGACCAAAAAGAGAAAGAGGGAAAGTGAGAAAGCAAGCTACTAGGTCCAGGACTCAAACCATGATTAGCCATGTGGGAGTATACAGCACTTTAACCACCATACCACCTGCTGGTCCCATGTGGAGTGATTTCAAAGACAAATTAAGTATAAATATATTTTTTAAAAAAACAAGTTGCAATAATACAAGGTTATTAGGAAAAGTTTATAGAAAATAGAATTAAGGGGCAGGCTCTGTGGCCTGGAGGCTAAGGGAACAGGATCCCACACAGCTGACCATGAAGTTTGAGGTCCAGACCCAGTGGCTTGAGAAATATGCTGGATGCATGCATGCCCCAAATGCTGATGAAATGAAGAAAGGGAGAAAGGATAGTGGCATGACTACACCCCATTGTGGGGTGATTTCTCCCGCTTTCTCTGTCTCTTTTTTTTTCTCTGGCAAATATAATGCCCTCTGGCAAATTTTTAAAAATAAATAAAATAAAATCTAGTTTTAGTAAAGAAAATAGCTTTTAAATCTGGTATGACCCCTAATGCAACAGGGGACCCAGGATTGGATCCTGCAACAGGAAAAGGACAGTGAGAAAACTGGTAAAATCTAAATCAAGCCTGGAGTTTACTTAACAGAAATCTACCCACGCTAATTTCTTATTTGTGACAAATGGGAAACAGTTTTGTAAGATGTTAACAGGGGAAACTGGTGGGACGAGAGACTCTCTATATTACTGTTGAAGCTTTCCTACAACTAAATTCTTCCCTCTGGGGCCAGCAGGTGGTATGGTGGTTAAGGAGCTGAATTCCCACTGGGTCTACTGTGGTTTGAGTCCCGGACTTGGCGGCCTGCTTTCTCACTTTCTCTCTCTCTGGGGAGTGTACATGCTCTATAACAATAATTTTAATAACAAAAATAACAACAAATAGAACTAAATAATTTCAAAAATAAATACATTCTTCCTCCAAATAACCCCAAAATCTGCATTCCCGATGGAACCATCATGGAAATAAAGCTGCTACATTTTATAACACTCATATATTGCTGAGAGCTGTAGAATGGGTAAAAATTTTCTAAAAAGGAATTTACTAGGGCCAGCAGGTGGCTTGATGGTTAAGGCGCTGGACACTCCCATATGGCTGACTACAGTTTGAGTCCTGGACCTGGAGGCTTACTTTCTCACTTTTCTTCTCTCTGTGTATGTCTCTTTTTGGTTAAATTAAAATAAATGAATGAATAAATAAAATTAAATAAATAATTTTTTAAAAATTTTTAAAAAGGAATTTATTAATTCACAGAAGCATTCTTTTGTGGAACATGTGTATTATGGAAAAAAACTATCCATGTATTTTGAAAACTTTTTGCACTAAAATAAACTTTTTTTTTAAGCTTTTTGCCATAAGGTGCCTGCACTCACCAGAGAGGAGAGAGATAGTGAGAGGGTAAGTGAGAAACCAACCTCAAGGGGGATGCGCCCAAAATCCAGAGGAGAGTGGAGATGAAGGGATTATGGTGTGACCACACCCCCTGGGGCGTGATTTCTTACTTTCCCCCTTTGTCTCCCTCTCTTTCTGGCAAGCATGCACACCCTATAGCAAAAACCTAAAATAAAATAAAATAAAATAAAATAAAATAAAATAAAATAAAACAAAACAAAACAAAACAGTTGAAATCTAGGGCTAGACAGTGGTGCAGCAGTAAAATGTAACACTCTGTGAAGCAAACCCACCTGGGAAGGTTGCTGTTGGTGTCCGGGGACCTCCCTGAGTACACTGGGCAAGGATGAGCCTGGGAACCAGTGCTGGCTGAGGCTGGGGTGGATTGTGGCTTCAAGACCCTGTCAAGGGTCTGTTTCTCTCTCCTTCACTCATGAAAATAAACTTTAAAAAGTTTTTTGAGGGCCACCCAGTGTCATGGTGATTAAGGTAGTTCAGGTGGCTGGATCCTACATAGTCAACTGCGTGATTCAAGTCCTAGACTGGCAGCTTAACATGCCAGGCGTGCATATGTGTGTGTGTGTGCACCCAAAATCCTGGAGGCGAATGGAAGAAAAGGGAGTGTATCATGGTCATCCCCCTTGGAGGATGGGGGATGCACTTTCTTATTTTCCCTCTTTCTTTCTGCTCTCCAGTGTGCACAGGTGCACTATAGTAAGCTTAATTAAAAAATAAAAGTATTAAAACTTTTTTTACATTTATTTTTGAAACCCACACACAGTTTTTTCATAAAAGTCATTCTTCACGACCTTTAGGAAAATCCCTCATAGAATCAAGTCATATAAGGAAATGGTGTAAAGACCAACATGAACCACGCATGTCTATGAGTAAAAACATTTGCAAATATCTTCTCGATCATGACAGAATACTACTAATAGAAAAATCCAGTGGTAGGGCCAGCAAGTGGCATGGTAGTTAAGGTGTTGGACTCCCACATGGCCAACTGTGGTTCAAGTCCTGGACCTCATGGCTTATTTTCTCACTTTCCCTTCCTCTCTCTCTGGTCAAATTAAATAATAGCAATAACAATAATAAATTAAATTAAATAAATAATTCATTAAGAAAATGGCAGACAGACCCAGTGGTTAACAACTGGATGCAACAGTTCCCAAAGACACATGGAAAGATACAGGGCAAGAACAGCTCACTTGTCTGAAAAGGATGGGGAAGTCCTCGGCACTCTCGGCCTTCCTGATTCCTTTCCCTCCGCCGCCCTCAGAAGCTTTGATCATCAATGGAAAACCGATTTTTTCTGCCACCTGGGGGTGAAGGACAAACAGACCTCTTTAGAGATCAGACAGCTGCCACCGCTACCAGGGCAAGGAGAAAGTTCTGGTGCCCTGGACGGGTGGGTTCTGTGCTCACCTCCAATCCCTCATCCACGTCTTTCACACAACCCTGGTCGTAAATGCTTTCTGGGACGCTGATCCTTTCCCCCTGCAGCAGGTCATCTTCCGTCCACTCCACTGTCAGACCTGGACAACCGTAAAGAGAGCTGAGTTCCTCTAGCACCAGAGAGACCTCGGACCTTTCCCCACCAAAACGGCAGCAGACCTGGGCCCCTGGACCCACAAAAAAACAGACACATGCCCTCAGCTTCCCACAATGGCTTTTAATTTTCTTAAGGACTAACTCAATCTTAGTGGAAAATCAAACTTAAAGTATTCAGACTGGCGCCAGCTAGGTGGCATGGTGAGTAAGGTGACTAGATCCCATATGAACAACAGTGCAGTTCAAATCCCAGGCCTGGAGGCCTGAGGAACAGACCAGATACATGTGAGTGTTTGCCCAAAATCCAGAGCGGAAAATGGAACAGGAATTGCAGCGTGGCCATCCCCCCTGGGTGGTGCTTTCTCATACCCCACCCAACATCCCTCTCCAGTGAACACATGTATCCTTTAGCAAATTCAAAAAAAAAAAAAAAAAAGGAATTCAGATTGAGTCTAAGAAGAACCACCATATTAACCCGAATCTAAAAACCCCCAAAAAACAAAAAAAATACTTCTATCCTATGGAGCCATTTATATGTGAACCATTATTTTCCAAAACCATAGAAAGATTTAACAAACCAAAACAAATAAAGATTTCCATTTCAAATGTAAAGTTCAACTTTTAGAGGGAAAAAAATCAAACTTAATAGGAAACTCCTGATCCTTTCCTGTTCATTTTTACATTCGTCCTAGAAATTCTAATTTTAGGAATGTATGCTAAGAAAATGATTTAAATGGATGTGTAGATTTAACTATATGATTATAAAAGCTTCACTCCTTTGACTATCTTTAAAATGAAAACAAATTAGGAAACAACCTAAAATGGATGACTCTAGAGGACTGTTACATAAATTATGACACTATCCTAGGCAGGCATTTTAAATGGTATAAAGTATACTTACTAACAAAGAAAGGTAATAATTAGTGAAAACAAAAAACACAAACTAGGTAATAATATATAATCTGTTTTGGTCTAGCTGGTAGCATGGTGGCTGGGTCCCACACAGTCAACAACATGGTTCAAGTCCTAGACCTAGTGGCTTGAAAAACATATTGGAGGGGCCAGCAGTTAGCATAATGGCTATGTCACTGGACTCCCACGTAGCCGATCGCGATTCGAGTTGGCTTCCCATTGGCTTAAACTCACGCCGGGTGCATGTGCGTGCGTGCCCAAGATCCCAAGAGGAAAAAGGAGAAGGGATTGTGGTGTGGCCATCTCCCCTGGGGGGTGATTTCTCATTTTCTGTCTCTCTGTCTCTCTCTCTCTGTCTGGCGAGCACACGTGCCCTGTAGCAAAAAAAAAAAAACTCTCAAAAAAAAAAACCACATTGGAGATGTGTGCGTGCATTCCCGAAATCCTAAAAGGAGAGAGAGCTGAGCTGGAGAAGGGATTGCAGCGTGACCATGACCCATGTGGGTTGCTTTCTCACTTCCCCTCCTCTCTCTACCCCTCTCCAGAGAGTGTGTGTACCCTCTAGCAAATTTAAAAACAGAAAAAAGAATCTGTCTTTTTAAAGCACATGTCTAAAAAAAAAAAACGGCTGAAAAAGTAGACACCTATATTGTAATAAATATTCAATACCAAGTCACAGGAGTTATGTGTGATTTCTGCCTCTTTTCTTTTGTATTTCTCATACATTTTCTTTTTTTTAATGCTACTCTTTTTTTAACTTAACTTTATTTATTATTATTATTTTCCAGTTTGATCAAATTTTCTACAAGGCACATGTTTTCACGAGAGAGAAAGCAAGCCACCAGGTCTGAGACTCACCAGTCAGCCATGTGGGAGTCCAACATCCTTGACCACCACACCGCATGCCAGCCTCACATATATATTCTAAGTTGCATACGATTTTATGCCACTTGATTAATTATTTTATTTTTTAAAGATTTAATTTAATTATTATTAATTAATTAATTTAAATTTGATCAGAGAGGAACAGAGAGAGAGAAAGTGAGAGCAAGCCGCCAGGTCCAGGACTCTAACTGTGGCTGGCCACGTAGGAGTCCAGTGCCCTTAACCACCACGTCACCTGCCAGCCCCTTGATTAACGATTTTAAATAAAGCCCTTTTTCAAAAGCACACTCCTGTCACTCTTCCTGCTCACATTAGCAAGACTGGGCTGAGACGTTCTCCCCAAGTGAAGCATGGGGTTCCTTACCGCTTCCACTCCAGGGCAGGGTTGGAATCTGCAGGGTCTGGGCCACGATGGTGGAGGCGATCTTATCTCCGAGGGCCCACATGGCCTCACTGGGAGGGCCTGAAGAACCGGGGACAAGAAGGAAAACAGAATTGAGTCAGCCACAAGATTCTCTTGGCTGAGTGTCAACCAAGCACACAGTGGCATGAGGTCAGGTGAAGAGCAGATGACAGAGAAAAGTCCTCAGGTCCCTACTCTTAAGGAGCTTAACTTCATGTTAACAAAGAAGACCTGTTAGGCCTCACCCCTCACATGTGGCCTGCAAACCTGATCTGAGGAACATCTAAGCTCTTGTGGCATCATAAAATTCACTTTGGAAGGAAAGCAGATGCTAGACCAAGGGAGCCAGGTATCACAGTTCAATTCCTAACCCAAGCAGCTTGAAGAACACACCAGGCGTCTGTGCATGCATGCCACAAATCCTGACAGGATGGAGAAATGGAGGAAAAGGGATTATAATGTGACCACTCCCCATCAAGGGATGCTTTCATCCTCTCCTTCTCTCTCTCTGGTGAGTGCATGCAATTAAAACAAAATAAGGTTGGTGGTCACTGCATTTCTGGAAAATATTTTACTTAAGTTAAAGAGGGGGCCTAATGGTGATGTGGGGTTAAAATACAATGTTTTGTGAGGCTGGCTCTTATGGCATGGTTGCCAGTTTGTGTCTGAGATCACCCTGATTATACCAGGTGTGCCTCTATCCATGATCTAAGCTGGCTGAAGCTGGAGGTGGATCATCACTTAAGAACCTGTCAAGGATGCTGTATAACTCCCTCTTTTCCTCATTCAAGGAAGAAATAAATAAACAACTTCAAAGAAAAAGATAAAGGAGAAAATCATGATTATAGTAACAACATACTTTAATTGGAAAAATCTCCTCACTTGGCCCACAGTTTGTTCATTAAGGGTCTGGGGTAAGAGATTTAATCCTCTATCACCAATGTCCTGTTATTTAAAAAAAAAAAAATTTAATTTATGTATCATTATTATTTTTTAAATTTTCTACAAGGCACATGTTTTCACGAGAGAGAAAGCAAGCCACCAGGTCTGAGACTCAAACAGCAGCCATGTGGGAGTCCAACATCCTTGACCACCACACCGCATGCCAGCCTCACATATATATTCTAAGTTGCATACGATTTTATGCCACTTGATTAATTATTTTATTTTTTAAAGATTTAATTTAATTATTATTAATTAATTAATTTAAATTTGATCAGAGAGGAACAGAGAGAGAGAAAGTGAGAGCAAGCCGCCAGGTCCAGGACTCTAACTGTGGCTGGCCACGTAGGAGTCCAGTGCCCTTAACCACCACGTCACCTGCCAGCCCCTTGATTAACGATTTTAAATAAAGCCCTTTTTCAAAAGCACACTCCTGTCACTCTTCCTGCTCACATTAGCAAGACTGGGCTGAGACGTTCTCCCCAAGTGAAGCATGGGGTTCCTTACCGCTTCCACTCCAGGGCAGGGTTGGAATCTGCAGGGTCTGGGCCACGATGGTGGAGGCGATCTTATCTCCGAGGGCCCACATGGCCTCACTGGGAGGGCCTGAAGAACCGGGGACAAGAAGGAAAACAGAATTGAGTCAGCCACAAGATTCTCTTGGCTGAGTGTCAACCAAGCACACAGTGGCATGAGGTCAGGTGAAGAGCAGATGACAGAGAAAAGTCCTCAGGTCCCTACTCTTAAGGAGCTTAACTTCATGTTAACAAAGAAGACCTGTTAGGCCTCACCCCTCACATGTGGCCTGCAAACCTGATCTGAGGAACATCTAAGCTCTTGTGGCATCATAAAATTCACTTTGGAAGGAAAGCAGATGCTAGACCAAGGGAGCCAGGTAGCATTTCAAAGGGCTAGGCCATGGGGTAGCAAACTTTTTCTACAAAGAGCCCAATAGGAAGGTAATATTTTGGTTTTGTGGGTCTGCGGGTCTCTGTTACATTACCCAGCTTTGTCAGCATAGGATAAATGGCACATACATAGACAATAGCACATACACAAAAGAGTATGGTCATGTTTCAGCAAAACTTTATTGACAAGAGCAGGCAGTGGGCCAGGTCTGGCCTGTGTTCTATAGTTTGCAGGCTCCGGGGCTGGACCACCAACCTCCAGAGCAGGTAAGACTGGTAATGAGAATCCTGTGTGACAGGCAATTGGGACAGAGGCCCATATGTTTTCAGAGACGACAGAGAAGACGTGAATGGGCAAAGACTACCAGGCAGACACAAAGGTATATGTCAGGTAGGGTGCTGAGCTGCTTCACACATGGCAAGTCTGCTTTGGGACCCAGAGGTATAACGAGTTACAACAGTGACTTATTGTATGACAGTAAATGAGTCTCCCAAACCACACAGGATGCCAGCCACAACAATTACATGAATTTAAACACAGATAATGACCCCAAAAGCAACAGATGCCACAGACAATGAGCATCAGTTTACTAACAAGTAGTAAAGCTAAGGGGCTCTGCTTGCCAGGAGTTAAGAGTGTTCTAAAGGCCTGAGAACAGCCCAAGGAAAGGGTGGCCTTATCAGAAATGTAACCCCCAGCCTCCTCAGAAATCTGAATATGGCTGCTCTCTTAGCACAGAAACACTAGCAGAGGCTCCACTTGCCCCACATTGCCATGGTAACAGCTCCTCCTTTTGTGGCCCAGGAGCCCTCTCACCCCAGGCCCACTTGTTCCTCACAATGGAAGTGTGAGGTAGGAGGTCAAACTGAGCTCCACCTTAGGGGCACTAAACAGAGAATGTGACCTCGCTGAATATTCCGTCAAGGCCCCAATTCCCACGGATGCAAAGGAGACACACTCTACCTAAGAAAGCAATTCCATGCTTGCACAGCAGTTCCGGAAGTTTGGGGTTTTCAGAAGCATGGCCCCAGCCAGCCCACACCGCCTGGAACACAGAAAGCGGTGAACAAAGATCTTCCTTCAAGAACCCACCCCAAAAGGCTTTGAGATGGTATATCATAATAGTAAAAATTATGGATGAAGTATATTTTTTAAAAAAATGAAAACAACAAAACTAGTAGAGCAATCATCAAATGCGTATGAGATGACATCATGCTCCACGCTGAAGAAGGTGAATATGTGTATGACCTTGACTTGGTTATTATACAGCATAGGCATGCCTTAATAAAACCACACAGCAGGGGCCACCCAATGGTGTGGTGGTTAAGGTGGATAGATCTCACATGGTTGACTGCATGCTTCAAGTCCCAGATCCAACAGCTTGGAAAACATGCCAGGCACTTATGTGTGTGCCCAAAATCTCAAAGGAGAATGAATGAGAAAGGACTGTGGCATGGCCCTCCCTGGGGGATGCTTTCTCAACCCCCACCTCTCTCTTTCTCTCTCTTTGTCTTTCTGGTAAACTTATGCATCCTATAGCAATTAAAAAAAAAAATCAGCAACAACAACCATAATCCAAAAAGATATGCACTGATTATATATAAATCAGAAATGATAATTAAAAATGTTTAAATTAACATAAATAAATAACAACCAGGTTTGACAAAGAGTCCCATCTCCTATTGTACCTAAATCTCTTCATTGTGTTCTACCAGCCCTGGATTTGGGGTCTCGTGGGGATCCCCCTCCCCCATTCTGACCTGCAGAATCAGCTGTTCTAGAGCTACGGCATCAACCCACTGGCGCATGCCTGAGTGCTCTGACCCATTCACCTGCACAGGGATCCTCTTGGCAATGTCCACAATCAGCTCCACGTTGGCATAGTTGTTGTTATTAGGCCCTCCAGGGACAGGGACATACTGATCTGCCATCTTGATGTACTCTGGAGTTACATGGAAGGCAAAGGAAAGAACTGCTGAGTTGCAACCACAGATGGTCACTGAAAGTATAACAGAGATCCATGGCAGGGCCAGCCAGTGGCCTGGTGGTCAAGGCAGCTGCATTCCACATGGCCAATCGTGCAGTTTGGGTTCCAGGTCTGGTGGCTTATAAAACACACCAGGTGTAGTGTGCATGTGCCAAAAATCCAAGAGGAGAATGGAAGAGAAGGTTCCAGTCCCGGACCTAGTATTTTGAAAAACACACCAGGTATATGTGCATGTGTGCCCAAAAACCCAAGAGGAGAATGGAGGAGAAGGGACTGCAGTGTGGCCATTCCCCGAGGGGTACTTTTTTCTCTTTCTCTCTTTCCAGCGAGCACACACACCCTTTAGCAAGGAAAAAAAAAAAGATTCCATGGCAACAATGGATAGACAAATGTGACAATTTAAAGAAAAAATAAATATAGTTTTAATTGTGTGAAGATAGGTGTTCTTCTGGACAAGGCCTGGAAGGAATCAAAAAAGAAAGCAATCCATCAGGAGAGTAGAATTTAAAGTAGATTTTTAAAAATTCCTATTAAATATTGGGACCAGCAGATGGCATAATGGCTATGTCGCTGGACTCCCATGTAGTTGTATGCAGTTCAAGTCCTGGACCTGGTGGCTTAAACTCACGCCAGGCACATGTGTGTACATGCCCAAGATCCCAAGAGGAGAATGGAGGAGAATGGGTTGCAGCGTGGCCATCCTCCGGGGGGTGGAGGGGGTGGTGATTTCTCACTTTCTGTCTCTGTCTCTCCCTGTCTTTCTGGTGAGCACATGTGCCCTATAGCAAAAACCTCTCAAAAAAAAAAAAATGCAAGCTCTTTAAAGCCAGAAATTCCACTTCTAGAAATATGTCCTAAAAACCACTCATCAATGAGGCCGAAGAATAAGGTAAGACAACGGTCACTGAGCAGGGTTTGCACAGGGAAAAGTTAGACTCGACCCTGAGACAACGGTTGGTACATTTATGCTATGGAATTCTCTAAGATCCTGAAAGAGAACAATGGAGAACATTGTGGAATGTGTATTCACAGAACACTGTCTCTTCCAGCCTGCCCACTTCTGATGTTTATTGAACACACGAGTGTCAGGCACTGAGGAGGCTCCATAGATGATAAATGTGCAGACAGTTCCCTATCCTATGAGTCTTTCTTTCATGTCAGAGAAGATAAATAGGAAAATAAACACAATAACTACAGACTGGGGTCTAGAGGAAGGAAATAAACGAAGTTCTCAGAGAGAGACACAAAGTGAAGTAGACCTCCATTTTGAACTTCTCTGTATATTGGAAACTTGCTTTCTCCTTTTGCTTAGAGTAAATACTCCTACTGTCTTTGCTAAATAACCCAAAACTCCCTACCCTAAGATGTTCCTTAGTGATGTAATCAGTCATCAGACCCTTTGCTCTGAGCCATGAAGAACATTAAGATTCCATTGTGTTTAGGTAGGAATTGGAACACACCCTTAAGAATGATTAACCTGTTTATTTTGCTTCTGTAATTCGCTTTTGCTTTTACATACATTTTAAAATCCTCCCCCCCCCCCTTTTTTTTTTTTTTTTTTTTTTTTTTGAGAGGTTTTTGCTATAGGGAGCATGTGATCACCGGAAAGACAGAGAGAGACAGAGAGACAGAAAGCAAGAAATCACCCCCCCAGGGGAGATGGCCACGCTGCAATCCTTTCTCCTCCATTCTCCTCTCGGGATTTTGGGCATGCACACACACGCACCTGGCGAGAGTTTTAACATAGCCACCGGGTCTGGGACTCAAACTGTGGTCGACTACATGGGAGTCCAGCAACATAGCCATTACGCTATCTGCTGGTCCCCCTCACCCCACTACCCTTTCAAGCCTGCCGCTCTTTGTTCTTGTAATTGCCACATAAACCTGGTAAAGAGTGTAATTTTTGCCTTTATAAGCACCCCTCACCTTGCACTTGGTGCTGCAGGGTTTTAAGAGACATGAGCCCCGCCCCCCATGCCATCGGCTTGATCAATGAAACTCCAATAAACCTGGCTATGTCTAGATGTCCTCTTACTTCTCGCTGAGTAGATTAGAACAAAAGAAGGATGTTGAAACCTGAAGGACAGGGTGGGGAGGGTGCTTGCCGTGAAAGGGTTCTGGAGAAAAACACCATCTAGAAAGGGTGCACCAAGGCTCTACAACAGGAATCAGACAGCCACTCAGAAACCATCAGAGGTCAGTCCCCACCTGGTGAAGGAGGATCAGAGAAATGAGATGGAGTCAGGAGGCTGGCAGAGACAGGATCATGTGGGTCCCTACTGGTCTGGGAGAGAAGCTAGGGTTTTGTTTTGTTTTTAAGACAAGGTCTCACTAGATCTCAATCCTCCTGCCTTGGCCTCTGGAGCAGCTCAGACTACAGGCACATACCACTGCACCTGGCTTTCTGAAAGGGCCAAGAATCGAACCCAAGGCTCCCAGGTAGCCTCCGTCTGCTAAGTAGCAGTATCAACCAGTGCATACTACTGCAGTTAGGCGTGGAATTTTAGTCTAAGCACAATGACAATGACCATTATTCCACAGGATAATGTATTGAACTCGGGCAGACCAGGATTCCAATCCCACCTCTCCTCCATGCTGGTTGTGAGACTTGGACAAGTGATAAACTTATATCCCTGTGTCTCAACTGTCTCAGCTGTGAGACGGGCCTGCGAGTAACAAATGAGGCCGCCCATGTGGTCTCTGTCCAAGCAGGGCAAAGCCTAGGGCCTGTGTTCTGGGAGGACTCAGGGGATGGCGATTGACTCTAGGGACAACTTTGCAGTATTAGAGAGGTGTGATGAGATCCGACTTGGGTTTTTAAAAGATCACCTGGCTGCTGCATTGAGAAGGGTCTATGAAGGGATAAGACTGTCAGGGCAAAAAAATAAATCGCCTCACAGTTCTTTATAGAATGACCCATTTTAAGAGACATAGAAATTGGTAAATGAATAGAAAAATGAACAGTTGAAATACATTGGGGTGGGGGGGCCAGGAGGTGGCATGGTGGTTAAGGGTGCTGACTCCCACATGGCCGACTGCAATTTGAGTCCCGAGCTGGTGACTTGCTGCTCTCTCACTTTCTCTCCCCTCCACACACACTTTCTGGTCAAACTGAAGTGAATTAATACAGAAATAAATAAATAAGAAATACACTGGGTTGTTGGAAAAGAACATAGAAACACACATTGTGACATTTCCGACGACCCAATAATATACACATCTGCAGGGAAAAAACATGGCAACATAGCCACCAATCTTCTAGAACATGAGAATTTCGCAAAAGTGGTATTGCCAACTCTATGTGTTAACCATTGGCACTTTTCCAAGGCACATGGGTTGTTCTCGTTATCAGCAGATATTTTAATTAAATAAAGAAGAAAGAGCAGATAAATAGGGGCTCAGGAGAGGTACCCTGGGACTCTGTTTGGGGTCCAGGATGGACCTGGCAGGATGGGGTGGAGAAGGTGAGGGCAGGTAAGGGTGAGGCACAGCAGAAGGTAGGGGGTCAAGGTCAGGTACCTGCATTGGCCTTGAGGTCCTCGGGAGTCACCATGACTACGAAGCGGATGGCCCGCTCATTGCGGAACATTTCATAGGCCCACCTGCGGATAGAGCGCATGCACTTCACGGCAGCGATGCCGTTGTTGGCGATAAGCACCTGCACGAGAAAAACGAGGATAGAGCCAGGGCTGCACACTCACCTGTACCAGAAGCTGCGTGTGACCCCAAGGTGCATCTCATGCTGCAGAGCCTCCTGCAGTACCGGAACTCACCATTCCTCTTTGTGTTTCTACAGCACACAGCCCAGTCCCAGAGCAGGTGCTTAAAATCTGCCAGCCCAGTGATCAAATGCATGAATGAATGATTATTCCTTTTTTGGTACCAAAATGATGACCCTTGACTCTTTCTTTTTTTGTAAAGAATTACTTTATTTTAACTTTATTTACTGGTATTATTATTTTCCAATTTGACCAGAGAGAGGGAAAGTAAGCAAGGAAGTAACCAAGTCTGGGACTTGGACCATGGTTGGACCATGTGGGAGTCCAGCACTTCTAACCATTACGCCACCTGATGGTGCTGTTAGCTCTTTTTTTTAAGATAGGGTCACTCAAGGTCACAATCCTCCTGCCTCAGCCTGCCAGCAGGGATGACAGGCACATGCCACCATGCCTGGCCTTTAGTTGGATTAGGAATTGAACCTGGGCCTCCCGTGTGGTCTCAGCCTGCAGTGTGCACCACTGTAGCCAGGTCATTCTTAATACTTTGAGTGTCTAGTAGGTACCAATCCACAGTACAATGTACTGGGTCATTGGAAAAGTTATGATGTATTTTTTCTGTTTTTCTCTGCACAAATGCATCATAAGTTTTCCAACGATCCGATATTTTACCTGCCTTATTTCATTTCATCTTCATAACAGCCCCTTGAAAAATATTTTATTATTATCCCTATCTGGGAGCTAAAGACAACTCAGAGGAGTTAAGGCACCCGCCAAGGTTACGCAGTCAGTAAGTGGCAGAGCTGGGACTCAGACCCAGATCTGTCATGTCCATAGTCTGACCTGCACTCCAAACTGCTTGTCCCTGCCCTAGCTGCTTCTGCATTATGAAGGTTAAAGGTCGCAGATTTGGTAAGGAGGAACAGCAGTAATACGAGCTGTCCCCCAAAGCAGAGAAAAACAGAAGTAGTCCTGGTTTCCATTCTCGGTTGCACCATGAACTTTCTGTGTGGTCTCAGGTAGATCCCTTCCCTCTCTGAGCTTTACATCGCTACATGAGGAAATCAGACTGGACAACCCCCTGGATTAGTCTCCAAGAAATAAAAACTAACTCCAGTTTTCTTGTTTAAGAAAAAATACAGGCAGGTGGCATCAAAGGTCTAACTTCTGCAGCAGTTTCAGCATTTAAGGCTTCCTCCACTGCAGTCTTATATTCATGACAGTCCCAAAGGGGAAGTCTCATTTGAGAGTTGGTATCTAATTGCCTCTTTCCTATCTATCTATCTACCTCTTTAAAATTTGCTATAGGGTGCATGTGTTCGCTGGAGACAGCACTCCCCAGGGGAGATGACCACACCACAATCCCTTCTCTGCCACTTTCCTCTCAGGATTTTGGGCACGTATATACAAGTGCCTGGTTTCTCAAGCCACTGGGTCTGGGACTCGAACCACGCAGTCAGCCATTTAACCACCAAGCCAGATGTTCCGTAAGTGCCTGTATATTACAGAAGGGGAAACTGAGCCCAGATCTCACACTCCATGAGCAGCCACACTAAGATCTGACCCTGAGGTTCCTGGCTCAGGCTCAGGTTCTTCAACGTTCCTGTCAAAATCACCTCTTGGGAAGGGATGACGAAAGATCTGAGCTTTCCCAATGTTCTTATCAAAGCAGGGCTGAGTCAAGAGGGAAGGGCCAGGCCGGTCCCAGATGATCCAGTTACCCCTGGCCCCGCTGGCCCTGGCACACTTTGGGGGTGCCGTGAGGAGACTCTGCAAGCCAGCTTGCCGTTCTAGTCCCCAAGACTGGTTTTCCATGAGGGGAGCAGGGCAGAGGGCAAGTCCAGGCCAACTGCTAAGCCAGAAAGTGCATCAGCTCTGGGCCAAGGCCTGCAGCTGCACTAGATGCTCCACTCCTGAAAACTAAACCCCGGAACCAAGCTGAGATGCCTGCAAAACCAACCTGCATGAGTCTCTACCCCTCAACGAGCAATGAATCGCTGGGCCCAGGCTGTGGGTTCTGGAATCCAACAGCAGGATGGTCAGTCCCAGCTCTACTCCTGGGCAAGCGGCCCCCCTTCTCTGAGCCTCAGTCTCCTCATCTGTCAAATAATGCCAACTGAGAGAGCAGGGGTATGTGTAAATAATAAAGGATATAAAGCAGGTAACAGGATGCCTGCCCCAGAACAGGCCCTCACGAAATGGCGACTGCTGTGCTGCTGCTACTATTATTGTTGTGTTATTACCAAAGCCCTCAAGTAAAATGGAAAAGAAAGAGGATTTTAAGCCAAACTGACCTGGGTTCAAATCCTGGTTCCACCACATACTATCTATGTGACCCTGGACAATCAGTTTCAAATTTCTGCATCCCAGCCTCTCCATGAACACTTCAGGAATAATCAAACCACATGGGGCTCAGGGTCTTAACCGGATGGAATGGGAACCGACATGAAGGGCTTTCACATAGGGAAAATCTTAGCCATTTCCTTGTCATTACTGTCATTACGGTACATAAGTCTCCTCTCCTCTACAAAGCTGTACACTTTGGGTGGGGAGGGCTGGGTTTTAGGCTTCCCTCCCAAGAACTTAGAAAACAGCCCTTTGCAGGAACTTCCCAACCACGTGCAGAGGCGTCAGTCTCCCCCTTTATGAAAAGTTGTAATGCCCTTGCCGCACTGGGTTGTTCTGTTCCTGAAGGTGTGTCCAATGCTAAGCAAGGGTAACAAGAGGTGGCCCTCGCCCCATCTGCTGCGTAAGGCGCGAGACTAAAGCTGGTTCTCCCACCTAGAGCTGGGAAAAGGGACCTCTCCACCCAACTAGTTATACCCAGAGTGTGCGTCAGGACCCAACCATACCTTTTCAATGACCCGGTCCCCCCCAAAGCGAGTGACAAACTCGGCAGGGGAGGCCACAGTAAAGTCTCTGTGCAGGTCCAGCTTCTTGTGTTCGCGTCCCCGCTTCACCAGGTGGAGTCCCGACATGCTTGGTCTATATAATGAAAACAATGGGGATGCAACAGTCAGGGCTTGGCACCCATAAACCAGTATCAAGGGGGCCCCTGGGGACACAGCAGTAAAACTCAACGCTCTCTGAGGCTGGCCCACATGGGAGGTCTAGAGACCTCTCTGAGTATGCCAGGCACATGTGCACCCATGATCTGGGGAGTATGCCAGGCACATGTGCACCCATGATCTGGGTCGACTGAGACTGAAAATGGATCACAGTGTTAAGACCTGTTGCGGTGCTCTGTCTGTCTGTCTCTTTCTCTCTCACATGGAAGAAATAAATAAAACTTAAAAATAAAGAAATGACATTGGGGGCCAGCCCTGTAGACTAGTGATTAAGGGAGCCAGATCCCACATGGTTTGAATCCTGGCCCCAGCAGCTTGGAAAACACACAGGCACGTGTGCCCCAAATCCTTTTTTCTTCTTCTTCTTCTTTGGAGAGGTTTTTGCTATAGGGCACGTGTGCTCACCAGAAAGGCAGAGAGACAGAAAGCGAGAAATCATCCCCCTCCCCAAGGAGGATGACCACACCACAATCCCTTCTCCTCCATTCTCCTCTTGGGATCTTGGGCATGCATGCACACGCGCCCAGCATGAGTTTAAGTCACCGAGTCCAGAACTCGAACCGTGGTCAGCTACATGGGAGTTCAGCAACATAGCCATTATGCTAACTGCTGGTCTCATGTCATCTGTCAAATAATGCCAACTGAGAGAGCAGGGGTATGTGTAAATAATAAAGGATATAAAGCAGGTAACAGGATGCCTGCCCCAGAACAGGCCCTCACGAAATGGCGACTGCTGTGCTGCTGCTACTATTATTGTTGTGTTATTACCAAAGCCCTCAAGTAAAATGGAAAAGAAAGAGGATTTTAAGCCAAACTGACCTGGGTTCAAATCCTGGTTCCACCACATACTATCTATGTGACCCTGGACAATCAGTTTCAAATTTCTGCATCCCAGCCTCTCCATGAACACTTCAGGAATAATCAAACCACATGGGGCTCAGGGTCTTAACCGGATGGAATGGGAACCGACATGAAGGGCTTTCACATAGGGAAAATCTTAGCCATTTCCTTGTCATTACTGTCATTACGGTACATAAGTCTCCTCTCCTCTACAAAGCTGTACACTTTGGGTGGGGAGGGCTGGGTTTTAGGCTTCCCTCCCAAGAACTTAGAAAACAGCCCTTTGCAGGAACTTCCCAACCACGTGCAGAGGCGTCAGTCTCCCCCTTTATGAAAAGTTGTAATGCCCTTGCCGCACTGGGTTGTTCTGTTCCTGAAGGTGTGTCCAATGCTAAGCAAGGGTAACAAGAGGTGGCCCTCGCCCCATCTGCTGCGTAAGGCGCGAGACTAAAGCTGGTTCTCCCACCTAGAGCTGGGAAAAGGGACCTCTCCACCCAACTAGTTATACCCAGAGTGTGCGTCAGGACCCAACCATACCTTTTCAATGACCCGGTCCCCCCCAAAGCGAGTGACAAACTCGGCAGGGGAGGCCACAGTAAAGTCTCTGTGCAGGTCCAGCTTCTTGTGTTCGCGTCCCCGCTTCACCAGGTGGAGTCCCGACATGCTTGGTCTATATAATGAAAACAATGGGGATGCAACAGTCAGGGCTTGGCACCCATAAACCAGTATCAAGGGGGCCCCTGGGGACACAGCAGTAAAACTCAACGCTCTCTGAGGCTGGCCCACATGGGAGGTCTAGAGACCTCTCTGAGTATGCCAGGCACATGTGCACCCATGATCTGGGTCGACTGAGACTGAAAATGGATCACAGTGTTAAGACCTGTTGCGGTGCTCTGTCTGTCTGTCTCTTTCTCTCTCACATGGAAGAAATAAATAAAACTTAAAAATAAAGAAATGACATTGGGGGCCAGCCCTGTAGACTAGTGATTAAGGGAGCCAGATCCCACATGGTTTGAATCCTGGCCCCAGCAGCTTGGAAAACACACAGGCACGTGTGCCCCAAATCCTTTTTTCTTCTTCTTCTTCTTTGGAGAGGTTTTTGCTATAGGGCACGTGTGCTCACCAGAAAGGCAGAGAGACAGAAAGCGAGAAATCATCCCCCTCCCCCAGGAGGATGACCACACCACAATCCCTTCTCCTCCATTCTCCTCTTGGGATCTTGGGCATGCATGCACACGCGCCCAGCATGAGTTTAAGTCACCGAGTCCAGAACTCGAACCGTGGTCAGCTACAGGGGAGTTCAGCAACATAGCCATTATGCTAACTGCTGGTCTCATGTGTCCCAAATCTTGATGGGACGAGGAAAAGGAGAAGGAATTGCAGTATGATCATGCCCCATGGGGGGGGGTGTAGGTGGTCTCTCTCTTCAACTATCTCTCAGGGGAACACACACACCCTCTGGCAATTAAAAAGAAAGAAAGAAAAATATCCATAGAGAAGCCAAGGTGCACCGACTCTCCTTTGCTTTGCATTCATTCTCCAGAGACCTTGAAGCAATTTACAAGGAGGCACCTACTCCAGAGGCTGGCACATGAACTCAGCAGGAGCTATGACCTGACCAGTCAAGATGTATGTTAAGATTTCTTTCTCTCTCTCTTTCTCTCTCTCTCTCTCTCTCTCTTTCTTTCTTCCTTTCCTTTCCTTCTCTTTCCTTCCCTCCTTCCTTCCTTTCATTTCATTTCATTTCCCAGAAAATGAGTGCATTCACCAGAGAGAGACAGAGGGGAATAGAGAGAGTACACATCCCCCATGGGCCACGGTCACACCACCATTCCTTCTCTTTCACTTCCTCCTCCTATGGGGACTTGGGGCATGCACTTGTACATACTCAGTGTGTTTTTTAAGCTGCCAGATCCAGGACAGGACTAGAACCACACAGTCAGCCACATAGGATCCAGCTGCCTTAACTGCCATGCCACCTGCTGGTCTGTATGTTTAGCGTTTTAATCCTAATTTTTACTTTCTTTGCCCATAATTTAGGAATTCAAATAATACTGACAAATTTATGTCAGGATGAGTTGTATGATCAGGGAGGAAGTTCACACATTTTATGATATGACAGACTTGTTAAAATGGAAACTCTTTCATGCACTTTTCTATTATTATTCTATTTTTTAAAAGTCTGGAAGGGCCAGCAGATGGCATAGTGATTAAGGCGCTGGATTCCCACATGGTTGACTGCAGTGTGAGTCCTGGACCCAGCAATTTATATACTATATACAATATATAAGCTGGTAGGACATGTGACAGTGACACATGCCCATCAACCAGCCTGTCCTGCTCCTGGCTGCCCTGGGCTTCCATGTCACCATCACCCTGGTGATTCCCTTTGATTCTACGTTGAATTTCCTGTTTCCTTCTCCATTCATAACTCTTCCATTGTTTACCCTCTGGTTTCAGTGGAAGACATCTTTCAGTAGCTTTCTAAGAAAGGGTAAAGTTTGGGGGCCTTGCATGTTGTAAAACTTTCTTCTGCCCTCGCAATGACCCTACTGTTCACCTGTGTACGGAATTCTGGGAAAGAAACCTTCTTCTGAGTTCTAGAAGCCTTGTGCCATTGAGTTGTGGCTTCCAAGGTGGCTAGAACTCCTGTTCTGGCCTGTGGTCCTTGATCCTTTGTAGGTGACCTGTTTTTCAATCCAGAAGCTTACAAGATCTTATTCCCAGTTTTCTAGTTTCACAGTGATGTTTCCGGTACATGTCTATTTCCATGAATGAGGCTGCAAACCTCCAAGTCCTGTCGATGTCAAATCGCAGTTCCTGGTAATTTGACTTCAACTATTTCCTAATAACTTCCTCAAAGAACAGAGAAAAGTGTTCTTTTAGAGGTTCCATTATTTGGGGACCAACAGATGGCATAATGGTTACATCACTGGACTCCCATGTGGTCTACCGTGGTTTGAGTCCCAGACCTGGCGACTTAGAACTCATACCAGGTACATGTGCATGTGTTCCCCAAACCCCAAGAGACAAATGGAGATGGGATTGTGGCATGGCCGTTCCCCTTGGAGGGTGATTTCTGACTTTCTGTCTCTCTGCCAAGTGTACACTCCCTGTAGCAAAGAATCTCTCTTTTAAAAAAAAAAAGCCCCATTATCTGGGTGTTGAAATGCCAAGGCCAGCTGCAGTGGCACAGCAG